GGAGAAAGAGGAAATTGGACAAGTGAAAACAGATGTCTACACTGTTAGTTGAGAGCTGTTTGGTACAGTGTTATACCACTATGTATCTTTCCTGTGTGATGATTTGATCTATGCTTTCTACTGGGCTGTAAGCTCCATACAGGCAGACATATTTTTGTTTTACTTATTAATAGATGGCTGCCTCCAGTGGGTACACAGTAAATACTTGTTGGCTAAATGAACCATCTGTGTTTTAGATATCTTACAGGTGTGTTATGGTTTGTGTCTAGATGTCCCCTCAAAGCCTCATGCAGTCATGGGGCAGGTTTCTAGAGTTTTTGATTGATTAATAGTCCAATGTTGGGATTATGGGTGTGAGTGCTACACCAGCCCTGGGGCAGGTAGTTTGCATACAATGTAAAGGAGGGAAAGAGGCTTGCTTGCTACTCCTCCATATTCACTCTTATTGCTTTTGCTGTTTTTCCACCTCCAGGAACTGTTGCCTTCTGCCATGTGCCACTCTGTCTTGGAGCCAGCTGATTATAGACTTAAACTTCCACAAACTGTGAGCTAAAAAAATCTTTCCTCCCTTAATTCTGGGCATCAGGTATTTTGTCTCAGCAGCAAGAGAGAAATAACTAAAACAAGGTGAGTTTGGAATTCAGCAAATTTGGATCTCAATATTGACTCACTGTTGGCTGTGTCATTAATTTGCTATTTGGACTAGTGAATAAACTGGCTTGAGATTTACTTTCTGCATTCATGAAGCAGAAATGCATAGTTCATTGTACTCTTGAGGATTTGATTAGAAATGAGTACAAAAGGGCTGGTCTATTTAAGAAAGTCAATAAACAATTGAGAATGTTCTTTAACTTTATTGCTGGGAAAACTGGCTATCTATCTCTGCATGGCAGAATAGCTCCATAGTTTACTTCCCACCCAAATATTCCTTCAACTATAATTATGGCATGTATTCATATTTTCTATTCCATAGGGCTCTACCCTCTAACCTACTCCTGGAGAAAACTCTGGATGCACAGTAAGACTCATGGACCACCCTGAAAGAGAGAGACAAGGCTAAACCAAAAGGCAACACGCAATAGGTGGGGGCCAGTTGTAGCTTTTATCTCTTGTTAGTCACTTAGTGTTTTTTACATCCTCAACAATGAAGATAACGCAGTCGTTTTTCACCTGTAATGTTCACCTGCATTTGTATCCCTGTCCTTGTTTCTTTGTAGCCTCATCCAACAGAGAAACTCCATCCCACACCCAAACTATCCAGTCTGCTATAATAAGGAGAGAAATGGTTATGCGATTAAGGAGAGAAATGGTTTCTGATCAGCATAGGTTCTAACTACCAGAGACACTTGGAACAGTAACCAGTGAACTGAAGCAATGTTGGGCTGTGTGATGCAAAAGGTAAGGCCACCTCCGGGAGTATGCCAGCATTCTCGCTGGGAATTATGAATCTATGCCTGCCTCTTCCTCAGAGTAAGTGGTTGGAGTGGAGATCAGCTACCGGTAAAGCACAACAGCTGAACAGAAAGACAATAAGTGTGGTGACAATAATGAGTATGGGTGCTGGGAGTGAGCAAGAGCTGATCCTCTGCAAAGCTGGCATCTCACAGGGACAGAGCTGTGAGGGGTGAAGGTGCTGATGGGAGAGGAACTGAAACTGTGGCTCCATAGAAAGGAGACAATTGATATAACCCAGCCCTGCCCTTGAAAGTGTTTATACCTTATCAAGGGAGATAGACATGAGAAATAAACCATATAAAGTAAAAAAGAAACTGTAACAAAAGACGTGAGAAATAAACCATCTAAAGTAAAAAAGAAACTGTAACAAAAGCCTGCACAAAGCAATGTGTAAGAGAGCAACCTCTGCTTGGAGGAGTTGGAGAAATGTATTCAGTAAAATTTTTAAAGATCAGAATACATTTGAGATAAACTTTAAATGCAGCAGTGTTTCTAGCATGCTTGGTGGGTAAGGGTGATCCAAGTAAAAGCAGCTCATAAGCAAAGCTAGAGTGGCGTAAAAGAACAGCACGGGTTAACTGAGGTTACAGCTGAAAATTAAGCTATATGTGGAGGAATAGTAAATATATAGGTTGAACAAAGGACAGAATTATAGAGCCAGCTTATATAAAGGTCTTGATGTGTCCAAGAAATTGGGCTTTGAAGAAATACAGTCCTGGATCTGAAACTAACATGCTGTATCTGGACAACATACTGTCATTTCTGTCCCAAGCCTTGAGAAGTGACTCTTTATGGAGGAAGCTCTTGAGGTCCTCAGACTCCCAAGCATGTGCCTGTTTTCCTCAGCTAAGCTCATATACTTGTCTGTTCCCTGTCACTGGTTCCAAGACTCAGGGCCAACAAGATCAAGTCTGATATTGTGTCTTTAAAACATAAAGCCAGTTGACTGAGCACTATATATTTTTTTGTCTGTTTGTTTGTCTTTTTGAGACAGGGTCTCGCTATGCAGTTCAGGCTGGCCTTGAGCTCACTTTGTAACCCAGGCTGGTCTTGAACTCTCAGCAATCCTCCTGCCTCAGCCTCCCGAGTGCTGGGATTACAGGCGTGTGCACCATCACGCCAGGCTAAGACTTTACTTTTTGATGCCAGAGACACAAAAAATTCATGAGGTGAAGGGCTTGGCAGCAACCAATGTTTGGTGCATTTTGTCTGTGTTAGGCTTCCTCCAAGTTTTACTGTTTAGCAAATCTCTTTGTTCTTCCACAGAGAGAGATTCAAGGAATTCTTAAATTCCACACTTAATCCAGAAAGGGCTTTCTAGAAGGCCTTTGAGTTTATGGTTTATGTTGAATTATACTGCATCTCAGATCTTCATTGCATTTGCCTTGAATGGAGCCTTTGAAAACATGGCCTACCAGGAGCATTTACACACTGAGTACTCAGTGATTAGGGATTCACC